CCAGGAGCAGAGAGCTGCGAATCAAGGAGCAACGCCGCCCCCTGCCGCACGCCTGCCTGGCTAACAGCCCGCAAGCATCACTCTCTGCCCGGATTTGGAGCAAATTCTTCCAGAGGGCAAAACTGCAACATCCGGAGAAGGCAGCCTGTCCCATTCGTGTTAGAAGGGCCAAAGTCTGTAAATGTGAGATGTTAAGAAGAAATTCTTTACTGAGAGAACAGTGAGGCGCTGGCACAGCTGCCCAGAGCAGCTGTGGTGCCTTATCCCTGGAGGTGGCTCAAGGCCAGGCTGGAGGGGCCTTGGGCATCTGAGCTGCTGGAGGGCAGCCCTGCCCGTAGCAGGGAATGAGGCTGTAATCCTAAGGTGGTAATTTTTAAGCAAAAGGGAACTTAAGATTTAGAGGATGTGGTAGGTAAAGGTAAACAGCTCATAAGAGGAACCCAGTAAGAGTTTTGTGGGTTTATGTTCCGCATATGTTAAGCTGGAAGAGGGGATGTTTCTCAGCTTCCAGGCCACTCTTTGGGCTCTGTCAGACACCCACTGTCACATCACAGAATCACAGAATGTCCAGAATTGGAAGGGACCTGAAGGATCATGAAGCTCCAACCCCTTTGCCACATGCAGGGCTACCAACCTCCCCATTTAATGCTAGACCAGGCTGCCCAGGGCCCCATCCAACCTGGCCTTGAACACCTCTAGGGACAGGGCATCCACAGCCTCTCTGGGCAGCCTGTTCCACATTCTCCACAAAGATGGAGAGGAGAGGCCAAACCCAGGCACTGTGTGATGTTCTCAGCCTCCTTTTGGCTTTCAATGTTTCATTCATCCAGAAAGCTGGAGTTGGATTCAACGATCCTGACGGTTCCCTTCCAACTCAGGATATTCTATGATTCTATCACAGAGTCATAAAATCTTCAAGGTTGAAAAAGATTTATAAGATCATCCAGCCCAACCACCCATATATCATCAATATTTCCCACTAAACCTTGTCCGTCAGTACATCTAAATGCTCCTTGAACACCTCCAGGGTCAGTGACTCCACCACCTCCCTGAGCAGCCTGTTTCAGTGCCTGACCACTCTCTCAAAGAAGGATTATTTCGTAATGTCCAACCTGAATCTCCTCTGGCACAATTTGAGGCCATTCCCTCTTGTCCTATCGCTAGCTACATGGGAGAAGAGGCTAGCCACCTAGCCTCTAAACCCCCACCTCACCACAACCACCCTTCCTGTAGTCGTAGAGAGCGATAAGTTGACCCCTAAACCTCCTCTCCTTCAAACTATACAGTCCCAGTTCTTTCAGCCACTCCCCATAAGACATGCTCCAGACCCCTTACAGCTTTGTTGCCCTGCTCTGATCACGCTTCAGTGCCTCAATGTCTTTCTTGCAGTGAGGGGCCCGACACCGTATGCAGTACTGAGGTGCAGCCTCACCAGTGCTCAGTACAGAGGTACAATCATTTCCCTGCTCCTGCTGACAACACTACTTCTGATACAAGCTAGGATGCTATTGGCCTTCTCGGCCACCTGGGCACACTGCTGGCTCATGTTCAGCTGAGCACTGACCAACATCATCTTCCAGCCACTCTGCCCTTAGCCTGTAGTACTGCTTGGGGTTGTTGTGGCCAAAGTGCAGAATTCAGCACTTGGTCTTGTTGAACTTCATCCCACTGGCCCCAACCCAGCTAGCCAGGCTGTCCAGAGTGCTCTATAGGGCCTTCCAGGCAGATTGACATTCCCTGCCAATTCGGTGTCACCTGCAAACTTACCGAGGGTGCACTCAATGCCCTCATCCAAGTCATCTATAAAGATACTGAACAGGACAGGCCCTGATACTGACCACTGCGGGGCACTACTTATGACTGGCCACCAACAGGCTTTAACTCCATTCATTGCCACACTCTGGGCCTGGCCATCCATCCAGTTCTTCAACCAGCAAATATCGTATCTGTCCAAAACAAGGGCTGCCAGCTCCTCCAGGAGAAATGTGGAGACGCTGCTTGAGGTTGTGCTGAAGCCTCAGTGGACTGACTCAACAATCTTTCCCTCATCACCAGGCAGGTCATTAGATCACAGAAGGAGATCAGGTTTGTCAAGAAGGACCTGCCTTTCATGAAACCATGGTGGCTAGGCCTGATCCCCCAGTTGTCCTGCACATGCTGTGTAATCTCCCTCAGGATTATCTGCTCTATAACCTTACCTACCACCAAGGTCAAGCTGACAGGCCTGTAGTCTCCCAGATCCTCTTTACAGCCCTTCTTGTAGATGAGAGTCATATTGACAAGCCTCCAATCCTCTGGGACTTCTGTGGCTGACCAGGAACACTGATAGATTATGGAAAGCTGCTTGGCTATCACCTCTGCCTGCTCCCTCAGCACCCTCAGGTGGATCCCATCCATCCCCAGGTGATGTTGTAGATCTCTTAACAACTCTTTCCACCTGAATCGTGGGGGCTTATTCTGCTTCCTATTCAAGACTTCCAAGTCAGAGGGTAGAGCACCCGGAGGGTAACTTATCTGACTTTTAAAGATAGATACAAAAAAATACGCATTTAAGAACCTCAGCCTTTTCCTTATCCTCAGTTCCCCACCATATTCAGAAAAAGGATGGAGATTCTCCTTAGCCCACCTCTTTACTGTTAATATATTTGTAAAAAAGTTTTTTGTTCTCTTTTTACTTCAGTGGCCAAGTGAATTCAAGCTGGGCATTGGCTTTCTAGCTTTCTCTCTGTGAGAATGATGATCTAACCAGGGGCAGATTATCTTCTGGACCGTGACTTGCTTAAGGGTGCTCATATAGGAATGGCCAAGCATACTGCAAATCTTTTTTTTTTCCCTGCTGCAAGAAGTAAAATCCCACAGTCCAATGAGCAAGGCTTGGAGGAGCAGGAATTAACCCAGAATGTCCTCCAAAGAAGCAAAAAGAGAGACAAATGGCATTAAAACTCAGACTTCCCATCTCTATTATAGCTGGAAAATGTGGTACAATAATGCAATGACTCACAGCAGAATCAGAAGTGTAGACAGTTATTCTGGTCTCCAGCCTGTATGAAGGAGACAAAAATAAATATGTCATTTTCACATTTCACTTTCCTACCACACAATAACCACAGCAGCCTAATCCCTGACTTTCTCCTATGTTCTCCCTACCAGTGAAGGTTTCTGAGGCTTCTGGTGTTAGGTTCAAAAAGGGAAGGAAGATGGCTTTCTTTGTGCCATCTCTTTTTGCTTCTTCTCCACTCTGTCTGGAGTCAAAAAATCCTCAGGTGCCATCCCACAAGGCCCTTCCCTCACCAAGCCTATGGTGCACTGTCATGTGTCACAGCCACAAAACACAGAACACCCTATACGTATATCTACTATGAAGTAATTCATTGCATTATGCCTAGAATTCAAATCAAGTTTTGAACAGAAAAGCTATTAAATGGTTCAGAATTTAAAACTCTTCAGACAATTTTAATGCAATTAAATGCACTCACAAAGAATAATTGGCATGCATGGTTCCAGCTCCTACTCTGGAGATTTGAAACCTGTGCTGACTGCTTGGCTTCTTCAGCTATGAAATGACATCACTTTGCCAGCTTCAGATGGTTAAACAATGGTAAAAAATGGTAAAACATCCTTACAGAGCCAAAGCCAGATTTCAAAGAAGTTTATAGGAATACACACTATGAGCAAGGCAGGCTTCACTGCTTCCAGCAGCCTGCAAGGCCTTTCAGAGTGGGATGCAAACAAGAACATGCCACCCAAACCTTCCCCCAATGCCTCTGCCTGTGGCCTGGTACTGTTCCAGATTCCTCCTGCTACCAGAACTGCAGGGCCTGCTCCTCTTGCACTGCTTGCTCACCCACAAAATCTACTGTTTCAGTTTCATGTCCTCTTTCTCCCCCTGCCTTTGAAAGGTTTACATTATCCTTGTTGCCCATGTTTGCAGAAGTGATCTTCTGGGGAATTATTTTCTACCAAAAAACCCAATGCTGGCTTCAGGTAAAAACATAGCTGTATTTCTCCAACCTCACAATGTCAACTTCAAGATTTTGGTGAGGTCTGGAAAAGATAAAGGAGTGAAGATAGCAAATTAAAATATGTTAAACAAGGGTCCCCCTTTGCAGTTTTTAAAGACCATTTCCAATTCTTACCTACATGCTTTGCTATTATTTAAACCAGCAGACTAGAAATAAAGCCTCAGATAAGGTAGAACTCCTCTTCCTCCTTTTCCTTCTGCAAAAAGAACTTAGAAGCCATCTCCACGCCTCTCAAACCAAATATTTTTCACTGGAATCAGAGCTGTCAGATCAGGCCATCTCTTTATTCCCACAGCAAAACTGTCCTCTTGTATGTGCTTGAACATCATGTTCTGCCCTTACATCACATGAGATAACCTTTCTTTGCCACTTCTCGGTCATCACAACTCACCAAGACGTGTTAGAGGTGATAGAGCAACACAGAGGTCTGAGAAGGCAGGTTTCAATGCGTATTTCCCCAAATCCTATGGCTTTTGGGTGAGCCACAAAAACATTACCTTTCTCTATGCATTTGGCCTTTTACCTATGCCATGGTTTACTGCACAGACAGTTCATTTGCAGAAGGCATCAACATTGTGAGCTTGGGTCATTAAGAATTAGATTGACTGGGTTGTTTTGTTTTGTTTTTAAATTGCTACTTACCTGCATAGAAATTCTGTAGGGTGTACAAAGCTTGCACAGGGTCTATTTGAGTGGCTTTGAGTTCCTTCCATGTCAGATGATCAGACACCACCTTAAAATGTTCCTTCTAAAAACCTCAGGAAGTTCACTTGCCACAATTGTTCTAAATAACGCTAATGACCAGGTTGGTTTTGTTTTGTCCTCTCTTCACCAAGATCCTCCCAGGTCTGACATAAAAAAAATATCAGGTGGCAGCAGTGAAACACTCTGACTGCATTCACTCAACTGAACATATACACCAACCATTCAGAGTTATAGGGCCAACAGCAGCAAGAAAGTGGGAAAAAAAAAAAAAAGTATTTGAATACCATTGATTTATTTGACATTTCTTAAATGAAAGTTGAAGATGGGAAGGCCTCAAAACTGCAGTTACTAAACAGACATGTCTGAGTGGGAGTGAAGTGGCTGTTCTTTACCGAGAACGTGTCAACCAAGAGAGGGAGAAATTAAAACGCAAAGCAGGAATTCAGCAGAGAAAGACATATGTCTGTTCAGCATTGAATCCAAGGCTTAGTTCAAAGTTTGTATAAAAAGGTGATGGTCATCTCTTGTCTATATTATGATTTATCATTTCTTAGGTCTCCTGTCTTTCCTGGGCTAGATTACTTGCTGGTTTTTGGTTGTTTCTGTTGTTGTTGTTGTTTGTTTGTTTCTTTCTTGGTGGTTTTTTTTTTGTTGTTTTTTTGTTTGTTTGTTTTTTTGCACTTCATTACTTAAGTAATATTGTCCTATGTTAATGTCTTGGAAATAAAATTTAAAGATTATTCAACAAAAATTCAGGTAACAGCAAAGACTTCAGTGATTCATATTCAAAAATATATAATTTTCAGATGCCATAATATGTATTGAATTCTTGGTTACAGCAAAAGGATTGTAATATATAGCATCACAGTGATATATCATCAAGCTGTAACAGTGCAGTTTATTTCAACTGTGTAAACAAAAGAAACTATTTCTGCAATGGCACTCTTCGTGAGCCAAATCTCAGAAGTCAAAAGGAAACCTTACATAGAAAAGAAAATCCCAACTTGAAGCACAGTACATGAACTCTTTGCATTTTATGAACTAAGAGCAAACATCTCTTAATTACGATTTGGGAATGTTAATGCCTGCAGAAGATATTCTCTAGGAAATAAAAATAAGTTACCGTAAAATGAAATCGATGATGATTTCCCAGAGAAATTTATTTTGTGTGTAAATATCAAAGATAAATGGCAGCGCTTTGCTTTTCTGGAAGGGAAGTAATCAATTTGATTATAAGACAATGCATACTCTGTAAACTGTAAGATAGTGTTGTGTTTTCAGATATTAGCACCTGAAATGTAAAGCTAAGTTTTAAACATTTCTAGTAATTTTTTGGTCATGCATGAGTTATAGCTTGCTTGACTGGTACAACTTTGCCAGTGTAGTCTTAGTGTCCCGTGAGATCATTTTAATGAAAGCATATATGTCTGGATTGCACTGCGTTTTATATGTGTGTGTAACTTTCATACAGGAGGCTTTGCATACGTTCAAGCTGTAGGGATGAGACCTCACAGTAGAAAAAGGTACAGACAGAGCAAAGAAGTCGCACTTAATAGCAAAAAAAAAGAAAACCTGGAATACATGATATAGTTACAAGCTGGTATCTTCAGTTTACATAGAGCTACGAATTCGCTTGTTTAGACAAAGACATCCAACATGTGTATTCTCACATACTGACACAGAGTTCATGCAAACTACCACAAAAAAGAACAAGCTAGAAACTTTTACCCCTCAGAAATGCTGCATATACTTCATCCTCAAATAAACTGAAGTCTCCTCAGAAACAACAGGGACTTAATGTGCAGATTGACTCAAGCAACATGTAATTGCTTCTTCTGCAATGAGAAGTGAGCAGCAGTATCCAACAGGAAATTTCATTGAATTGTACTCCACTTCAAACAGTGTTAAGTCCAAACCTAGGTTCATTTGTCACGAAGCAGTAAGACTACCTCCAAAGAAAGGTTATTTTCTTGGAGGAAGGACATTTTCTTCGTAGTAGCCTGGATTTACTACATTTCCAGCTGGATCGTACCTAGCGACCACAAATGTAGAACCATCACTAGCAGATGCTTTTCCAACACCCATTTTCTTTGTGCTCTTCCAAACCATTGCTGTGAAATGACCTGAAGAAAGAGAGAAACATGCAGATGTCTTAGGTACTAAATCTATATTATTCCTTCAAACATATTGAGGAAGATGGGGAGAAAGAGGCATACGAAACTGTTTTTTTCTCTAACAGGAGATCTCACTAAAGGCATGCGAAAAAACCTATCTAGCATCTTGTCTTGAACAAGCCTGCTCTGACCTGTTCCATATTAGTGTTCTTGGCTCCATGTCCTATTTCCAAATAAGAATATAAAGTAGGAGAATCATGAAAGAAGGACTTTGATGAATAAATGACATAAAATGCCACAAAGACATTATGGTGTTTACTTCCTGCAGTAAGAATAGCAGTTCTACCATTTCATCCTTCCCTATTATGTCTGCATGGAGAACAATTCAAGATAATTCTCTTTGTTGCTGTTTTTTTTTTCTTTTTGTGGCTGCTTCTGCTTACCTCTAATGGCCACCCCTAAGCTGTGTTATCAGTTGTTCCCCTGTGCACAAACAAGCACCATGGGAGAAAAGCAAGATTTTCTTCATCTCAAACAAGCTTAGTTGTATCTCTTGCTCAATTACTATTCAAGAAACAATGTTCTTACGTTCACTGAGCACTGGGCTGATAACATGCAGTCAATGACCCGTGGCTGATCTCCAAATTACAGCTGAAGTAACCTCTGCAACTGTAGTGATACATCTTGGCAGAAGACACATGCCAGTGTAAACAACAACACACTGTATTTAGTGAGACACCTATATCATTTCAATTCAGTGTTTTTTACAAATTGACTTGCCTTAAAAATAAGGTCCCTTCTAGAAATTTTGGAGTTGCAGAAAAAAAAACCACAATATATTAAAAAGAAAAGACAAATTCCAGACCTTCCTCATTTCTCACAGATTCTTCTACCTTTCTATCAGTTTCTAACATAACAGTTTGGGGGAAATTCTAATATTGTTCTCCTAAGAACAAGGTAGATTTTTGAAAACTATCAAAACAAGCGCAGCAGGCAATTTCTTTAAAGGAAAAGTCCTGGTTGTGAAGAGAAGGTAATCAGTCTGAACTTACCTGTCCCTGAAGAAAACCCTGGGTTTTGAAAGCTGTAATTCTTTATTTCACTGTACCATCTGTCAGCAACATCCTTCCCTGAAACACAGAAGAAATGTGGAATCAGGATAGATAACACAAACACAAGAACATAGTTCGCTTACAGTTTGACCAGCATGATCTTCAGGTCAAATGTTTGGACAGATTTCTTCTCTGAAAGAGTGGTCAGGAACAGGGATAGCATCCCAGGGATGTAGCTGAGTCATCCTCTCTGCAGGTGTTCAAGAAATGTTTAAATGTTGCACTAAGAAACATGGTTTAGAAGGGAAATATTAATGATATATGGACGGTTGGACTAGATGATCTTGGAGATCTTTTCTAACCTTGGTGACTGTATGATCTTCAGTTAACAGCTGGCAAGACCTGTACAACCCAAGGCACAACTTCCAGGCACATGAAGGAACACTTTTACTGAATAAGAGTTTTTGAAATGTAGGTAACACGATATAGCACATTACATACCAAATTTTTATTGTTTTGCAACAGCTGTTCCTGCACAGTTACTAATCAGTCTGTTTTTTGTTAACCATCTCATGCCATCAGTTTCTGGAGTTCTCAGCTCCCTGATACAATCACAATCCATCAGTTTCTTCACTGAGGTGCAAGGGACGTGGCCATGGCACAGGCTGGCTGAGATCTAGGGCAGCAATGCACTGAACAGGTACAGCAACAGACGTCTGTGGAGATGTGCTCTTTGGATAAGATGGACCTGAAGAGGAGCAGAACTCTGACACCAACAGCACAGTAAACAGGACCACAAGCCAATTCTCAAATGTACTTAAAACTTAATAGGGCTGAAGTCAGAAAAGCTCTCAGACAAAAGAGGTCAGTGTGGCACAGCATTTGGACCTGGATGAGCAGAGATCCATGCAGTCCTTAACAAAATGTTTAACTGCCTGGCAATTAAACACATGGAGTCCATGGTTTGTGTCTGCCCTTCTATAATGGTAAGCCTGGAAGGTAGCTGAAGATGCATCTCCCCTATCTTGGATGAGTGTTCCTGTCATTATGTTTCTACACACCACTTTCAGCAGCTCTTCCATCTTGGAGCAAGTTTGAAAAGACTTCAGAGAGCCGTGCCAGGTTTTCTGGCTAAAAAGCACAGGGGCCTTTCCTACAGTGAGCCCCCCAACCTGTGGATCAAGGTATATGAAGATGTTCCTTCACAACTCCCAGCAAACCAAAATGACTATCCTTACATCCTGTAGTTCTATATGCTCCCATCAGCATTTCATACTTCAGATTTCTGAGTGGATTTATTCTTCTTAATTGTTTTACACAGCACCTGAGCCATTGTGAATTTCCACTCTGAGCTCTCTAGCTCAGGGTACTACATCTCCAGGAGCTGGTACTGTATGGAAATCTGTGCCCAACATTGGCTCATTTCATCCGAGGTGTTCACCGATCACAGCTATACAAGGATCACAACTACAGCCAGTGGCATAGTGCTACGTGTCTGTAGGTTTCTAACAGTGACATCTACCAAAGAAAAACCCTATCTGCTTTCGTTGAGCTGTTTAGGAACCTGATTAGACGAGAGCAGATCCTGACAGTGAATGAATCTGCAATGCATCTGATTGAACAGACAGCACAGAGGGCAGAAGCTCAGAGCAGAACTTGCAGATGCACTCAAAAGTCAAACATTACGTCTTTTCCATTACTGTTTCTTAGGAAATTCTTGTCTCAGACAGGGAGGGGGGGGGGGAGGGGGCAGCCTTTTCCCTGTGCTACATCAGTAATGAAGTTTCTGCTTAGCATTCCAGGAAGTATAACGCAAGGCCAGTTGATCCCAGAGCAAGCTGCCAAAGCTGTCAAGACTACCGTCATGAGGAACGCCGGTCCCTGGCGGACCGTTGGCTGCAGAACCACAATGACTCACAGTTTGCTATTTCACAGCAAAAAGTCTCAAACTTGCGCTGTTCCTGAAGTCAGACGCTGAGCTGTTCACCTCTTTAGACTCACGAGTGCAATCTGCTCAACTGATGGCGTTGTTAGCCTGGCAGCCTGGCTGTCAGAGCTGTCACTTGAAAGAAAATACTGAGTGAATTGCCATCTCTGAGAGGTTTGTGAACTGGAAGTTCTAGGAACTGATCCATAGCACACTGCTTGTTAGGAATGGGGCTCACTTAGTGAGTTTGTTTATATTTTCTACATAAAGATGTAGCAAACATGTTTTGATTCCTGAAGTAAATGTTCTGGGAGTAACAACAGGTTCCTTCTTTCCCTGCTTGCCCAGTACCAAACAACAACACCAGAAGACCTGCTTAATGGCTAGAGTCTGTAAAGCAAATACAATACCTGCTCATTTGCTACTCTAAGTAAAGCTAAAAGACTAAAACATGTGCCAAGAGCAATCTGTGTGTAAGTCAAAGGAAAAACAAAAAACATATAGTACAAAAGCTAAACAAATCTTTGTTGAATAGAAGCACAGAGTGCTTCAGCAGACATGTCAGACCTTATAGAGCATATGCACTTTGTATGTACAAGTGCTTAAGTGACTACACTATGTAAATGAACCTTTACAAATGTAGGACTGCACTTTCAGTGCTACTAGTACTTCACTGTCCCCTGCAGTGTGACATGGCATGAAAGAGTAGTCCAAGAGAAAGTCAACACCACGCTGTCTACTGTAGCTCTAAGAAATGCATCTAGGCTCTGTGTGAGTAAAACTTAAGCTCAGCATAATGGAAAGATTGTGAGAGACATAGAAGTTTTTACAAAGATAGATACATATATATTATTTAAAGAATACTATAATGTGAAAATCTGATAACACTTTAAATTCAGAGAAGATGGCAATGGCATCAGGTAAAAGAATAATCCAGTCCTGCTCAAGAAGGACAACAAGCATAAGCACGTAACACAATTTACCATGTGTTAATTCCCAGCCACGGTGCCCAAAAACTTATTGCAGGCGAACAAGAAAGAACTGTTCAGTATAATAACTGGTACGCATGCAACTATGGGAAAACTGCTGTTAGCCCAGTGACCCCTGGGCTTCCCAGGGGCTGGAGGAAATAAATAGAAAGAGGCCAACACAGCAGTCAGCAGAGCACTGAGCCCCTTCGATAGCAACTTGCATCCTCAGATGTGCTGGTTCAGAGAACTGACCATAGTATTTCCATTTCAAGTTATGCAATTATACTCAGAGCCCAATTGACCTTGCACTGGAATTGTGTGATGCAATTATACTCAGAGCCCAATTGACCTTGCACTGGAATTTTTCTCTGAAAACAGCTCTGACTCCCCTAAAAGTCCCCTCCAAAACAAGGTTGTTGTTTGAACAATATTGTTCAAAATGCATTTCAAGCAGAAGGAAAAAGAGAAAAGAGATGGCATTCCCATGAATCACTGTGGATTCTGGCAGAAATGATGGAAGTTCAGTTCTACCAAAACCATGCAGATTTGTCCTACAACCTGCAGTTCCTCTTCTGGTGGCAGAGCCAGTTACTATACTACTTTTTTTTTAAAAAAAACATCCTTCCTCTTTGCATTGTTGTAAACCACATTTACAGTTTCAACACTTTTTCTATGGAAATGTATGTTCAGCTCCACCCTTCTAACAACAGCTGACTGATGACCTGCTTGGTTCACTTCCAATCAGGCTGAATCTCACTCTCATGGGCTGCATCAGCACCAAGGGAGAAGAGGAGCCCAGAGAGCTGAGTGTGCATGGATGAGAGGGCCTGTACCAGCAGCTAGAGTGGAACTGCACCTCCATGGGGTTGTACATCCAGCATCCATCCCCTGTAGCTGGGATACAGGGGCAGCTAATGGACAGACCAGGTGTCTGAGCCCAACAGCTGAAGGTACCCAAATTCCCATTACTGGGAAAAGAATATATTTTATATACATTATTTTATATTGCCAATAATATTTTATTATATACATTTTTAAGAATCCATTGTTGGAAATAAATGCATATATATCATTTATACATATTCCAACAGTAGATGTTTGACCTGATGGGCCAGAAAGGGGCACAGGATAAGGGCATTGATGCTGTTCGTGTAAATAATGCCTGTACCTGCCTGTGTTGATCTGTGTGGCCACCTGCTCATACATATATGTATGTACACGCTGTCTATGCATGCGTGTACATGCATCCTGGGCTCCATCAGAAGAGGGGTGGCCAGCAGGGACAAGGAGGTGATTGCCTCTCTCTACTCTGCCCTCATGAGGCCCCATCTGGAGTACTGCATCCAGGTCTGAGGCCCCAATACAGGAAAGACAGGGAGCTGTTGGAGAGGGTGCAGAGGAGGGCCGCTAATATGATCAGAGTGCTGGAGCACCTCTCAAATAAAGACAGGCTGTGGAAATTGGGCTTGTTCAGCCCGGAGAAGGCTTTGGGGTGACATGATTGCAGCCTTTCAATGCCTAGAGGGAGCCTACAAACAGGAGGGGAGTCAACTCTTTGAAGGATAGACAACAGCAGAACAAGGGGAAATGGTTTCAAGTTGAAGGAGGGAAGTTTTAGGTTGGATGTTCGGGGAGAAGTTCTTTACAGAGAGAGTAGTGAGGTGCTGGAACAGGCTGCCCAGAGAGGTTGTGGATGCCCCGTCCCTGGAAGTGCTCAAGGCCAGATTGGATGGGGCCCTGGGCAGCCTGGTCTAGTGTTAAATGTGGAGGTTGGAGGACTGTGGCAGGGGAGCTGGAGCTTCATGATCCTTGAGGTCCCTTCCAACCCAAGCCATTCTATGATTCTATGCATGCCTGGGAATATACTCTTGCCTCACTGACTGCTTGGACCCAGGGGCACAAGGCTGTAGCAGCCCAACTACTGTATTCTGCTCACCTGATGTTTAATTTCTCTGTGGCCACTCTTACTGTCTCTCCTTATACCTAAGAAACCTTAAATTTTCAAGCCATCTGAGAAAATCATTAACAGCATTCTAGTAAGATTACAGCACATAGATTACACCTCTGTGTGAGGATGAGAAGCACCACAGAAATCGACAAACCAGGTACCCTAAACCTCACATCTTTCCTTTAGTGTTTCCTAGCTGTTGTTACCAATTTCCCTTCCACTTTCTTAGGGGAAAGCAGGAGAGGTGAATTTAAGTTTCCACCAGAAGTTATCTCAGAGGGTGTAATTCTCTACTTTCAGCATCTCTCATGAAGGTCCATTTTCACAGAATCATGGAATCACAGAATGGTTTGGGTTGGAAGGGCCCTCAAAGCCCACCCATCCCCACCCCATGCCATGGGCATGGCTGCCCCTCACCAGCTCAGCTGCCCAGGGCCCCATCCAACCTGGCCTTGAGCCTCCAGGAATGGGGGAATTTTTAGCAGTACTGTGAAAATCTGGTATTGGAGAGGAATAGAGAGCCACAGATGCCTGAAGTAACCATATTTGTGAGTCAGAGCGTGCTCCTTCAGGGCTGGGGCAGAATGTGCCTGTGCTGCTCTGCACACTAGACCTGATTTTGTAGCCAAACCCAGGTTCCTCCCATAATAGATTTAGGTAATACCAAGCAGTGAATTTCTCTTACAAACTCCCCAAAGTTCATCATCAGCTGCAGTGTTTTCAGGGACTACACACACACTCTTCATGACAGCATTCATCCCAACCAGAACTGAATCATTCAGTGCTTGCCTTAGGCCTCCCCGTACATGAGAAATGACATGAGGCGTCCTAAGAAGCCTGACACAGTGCAGCTGCCCAGGCAGGCTGTGGTCTCTGTTGTAGCAGTGGCAGATGACAGCTCACTTACGTGAACAGAGACAAAGAGAAGTCTGCCACAGAGCAGTTCCTGAAGGACTGGAGGGAGGAAGCGGCTGTCAGCTATTTCTTGGATTACAGGGATAAATATATTTCCAGCCACAGCTTCAGGCTGTGTAACTCCAAAATCCTGAATACAACGTAAGCGATTCCTGAGCCAGGAGAGGGGTGAAACTAAAAGACTCTTACAATTTAAAGCTTAAATCATCTCTGAAACAATAAATTTATCTTCTGGCATTATCACAGAACTCCATAAGAGTCAAAATAAACAATAGCATTACTTCTGTCAGAGAGAAAACACACTAAGCTGGAGGTTTATTGAGTTTTTCTTTATCTGGGGAGGAAGACAGTCTCCCTTTATTAAGCCCTTGAATAGATGCCTAGTACAAATTTCAGCCTCATTGAGCAGGCTACAAATTAACTATCCAGAGGGAACTGTATGACAAAAAGAGGAAGAAGTAACCAGCTCCACAGAGATGAAAACTAAGCCTGGACAGAACAGCTTTCTCTGAACAAGGAGTTTTCTTACTCTGATACTCTGACTCATCCTGACACATAGGAAATGTAGCACAGAACAAAAGATGTAGCTTATTTTTCTCAGGAAGGCAGTCAATTCTATGAATAAAAAATAGCAATAAAAAACTGCTCAAAACTGGCAAGTTATGCATGGAAACAGTGCATAGAAGAAAACAAGTGCGATCCAAAAAAGGACTAGCATTATATAATTTATGGAAGGATCCATGTGTGTTGTTTCCAGCTCTCTGAATGAGAAGCCTGTTTCTTTAACCTCAGGGGAAGAGCATAGGCCATCAGCATAAACAAGAAGGAAGAAGTTAGCTCAGTGAGTCATAGGCACTGTGCAAATTTTGCCATACATCTGTTTGTTCCCATGCTGCTCTGAAGACTTACCTCAGACTCTTGCAATCGACTGAACGTCAAGTATTAGTAGATCCAATTAGAGTTTTCCACCCCAGGTTTATTTTTCAATATAAAAAGGTACCCATGCAGGGCTACAGCTAGCACTTGCAAAGGAATCCAGCAGTGCCCCTGGGCCTAGAACTCAGTTACTAAAATTTCCAGGTCCTTAAAACAGGACCTACAGTCCACACAAATGAGCTCCTATCTCCTCTAAACTGCATTGTGAATTCCAGGGGTGGATGGAAATAAAGAAAGCAAGCGGTCACTCATAATACACACCAACTGCTCTCTCAGCAGGCGGAGGCATTAACTCTGCATGCTGGAGGAGGAAAGAGGGAAGAGCCTGCTGAGCATAGCTCTGAGTGCTCACTGCAGGCTGTCAGCATGGCCACAATTCAGCTCCTTGGGTATCCAAACAGAGGGCTGCCTATTATGTGCTACATTTATGATCAGAAAATATACGGAGAACTTTTATCTTCAGAAATGAAGGCAGGGAAAAGAGCTCAAACCTTCTGTTTACTGACAGAGCAGAAGAGATCAGATGTTGCCTAACACACTTGCCTTTGTCACTTTGGTTTCCCACTGTCTATTTGACCTCCAAAACAGGAACTGCTGTGTAGCATGCAATTGCCATTTTTCCACCTCCCTCACCACAGTTGACCTGTGGTCAGCCTTTACTGAGGCTAGGGCAAACAAAGAATAAAGGTGAAGAACAGGGCATTGACAGCTTCCTTCTCCCCTCCCATGAAACAGAATTCAAAGAAGGTGCACAGTTGGGATATACAGAACAGCCTGGCCACCAAATGCTATCTTTAAAGGGACATAACCTGCTGCCACAATGCATTACCCCTTCAGTGCACATCTGTGTTTCTTGCTTTCAGCAATGCAAGTGTCTGCATACCAGAAGCATGTGCCCATGGAACGTAGGTTAGGTTGCAGTGGCCACTTTTTGGAAGTGAAGGCAATGGCAGTACTCTTGCAACCAGCCCTGACATCCAGCTCACTCATGCTCTGAGCCCGAGGAAAATGAAACAGGCTATTTATATGGTGTCTGTGAGACAGCAAGGGAAGAAAGTTTACCTGGTTGATCGTAGGATGCCCAGGCCAAATTCTCTCCACATTTTCCATTAGCAGACTCAGAGCTGTGTTTGAGGACCCTTGAGGCTGCCAGTTCTTCTGCATACCTAGCAAAGGGATGCACACGTTATGTTACAGACTGCAGATAAAGAGGATGGAGAGGTGAAGGAAGAGAAAGAGGAAATGCAAACAAGGAATGTTAGAATCATGGAATCGTTTGAGTTGGAAGAGACCTTTAAAGGCCATCTCATCGAGCTTCCCTGCAATGAGCAGGGACACCTATAGCTACATCAGGTTGCTCAGAGCCCCAACCAGCCTGACTTTGTACATCCCCAGGGATGGAGCATTCACCACATCTCTGGGTAACCTGTGCCAGTGCCTCCCCACTCTCACTGTAAAAAACTTTTTTCTTATCCCCAGTCTAAATTTCCCCTCTTTTAGTTTTAAACCATTTCCCCTTGTCCTGTTAGAAGATGGCAGTTTAAGTGAAGTTATTCAGTTGCAAATCTCTGATGCCAGGGATGCTTTACACCTGTATAGATCTAGCACTCATGAGAAAGGAAAGTCCAGAGAGCATTTTGCATGTATTTCTGAGCCCTTGTGCCATGGATGAGAAAGGTCTAAAAGAAACAGAATGTAGATCTCCCTTCATCCTGTCTACCCAGCACCTGGAAATCCACAGCTGCAACTTTAATGGGGAAAGGGAAGCATTTATAAGCATTGCTACAAATCTCAACATTTCCAAACCCCCTCACTGGAGTAACCTGCAAGAGATAATATAGCTTCAAAAATCAGCACGTAAATAATTCATAAATCAGATGTACATATGGGAAAGGGAGCAAAATCCAAGCCTTCCTCAAACAGGGGACAGTCAATGACTCACTGTAACACTAGATGGAGATTTCCAGCATATATTTGCAGAAGTCCTGGGGCCACTTCAATGTTTTGCTAGTGTTTTACTATCAAAAAATAGAAAGTGTGCTTAAACCAGTTTTAATTGATAAGTAGAGAACAGTTCCAAAAACTCTGCACCATTAACTTGATTTCTACATAAAATAGACTGGACTGAAGCTGGGATTCAGTCAGAGTGAAAAGAGAAAGAAATCACAGGGAGAATTTGAAACAACAAATGTGTGTAGCAGCACAGGGATAAGAAGCATTGTTTCCATAGAAGTTAACACATGAGAGTGTGGGAGGTACTTTGATTGTCTAATTACAATGGGATTAAAAATAACTTCATGTGTAAAAGGATTATTCCCTTTAGTCAGCATTGGAAAGGCTTCAGTGCAGAGACATTCAAACTCAAAAGACCATTTGTCATTTCTCACAGCATCAGAAATCATCAGGTAGATTTAAAAGTCAAATAAAACAAAACAATCGTTCCATAGTGTGCTACAAAGCTTATCACCAATGAGGCAGACACCAAAACACATGGGGATCTGAAAGAAGCTAGTGAAAATTACAGAGTGTGTATTCAGGGGCTATTAGACACCTATAACCAAAAAATAAAAATAAAAAAAGATACTACCTAATATTTAGGAAAACCACAATTTCCTAGACAATTTTGTAATTTCCAGGAGAAGATAACAGAGCAAGGATCACTATGTATATCTTGTCCTGCTGCTTCTTCCCAAAGCTTGGCATCTGTCAGACACAGGATTGCCTAGCTGAGCATTTTGGCCCAAGGTAGTACTTTAGTCATTAGGTCCTGCTTTCCTTTTGTCCTATCCTTCTAAGAAAAGAAATCAAACAAAAATACCACATTGAGCTACCACCAGTAGTTTAGAAATAATGAAAGCTTGCCAGTTGTGAATCTGCTAGATCTAGAACTAAAGGATCTCTTGACACTTCTTCATGTCCTCTATCCCCATAGTCCTGCGCTGCTTCTCTTTAAGGATTTGCATATTCCAAGAAAGAGGTAAGACTGGGACAAAGTTGCCAAGGATTTGAGACAAAGGGTGATTAATTCCCTCCTGCTCAGGCAGCTGAAAACATGAGATTTGTATCTGAGATCATCACCCTGTGCTTCATTACAGTCAGATATAAACAGACACCTGCTGAGGGTGACTCACTCATCCTAAAACAGGGATCCAATAATCAATTCAGTTAGCCTGTCTCCATTCTTGGGACTGAAAATAGTGGAAAGCACACCATTTTTAATACAGACAGAGAAGAAAAGATACATCAGACACATTTCAACAAAGATACCAGATACAGTGAAAAGAAAAAGCGAAGCTCTTTGAAGCTTTTGAATTTTAGATTATGCATCATCTAACTTGAAAAAATAAGATTTCTCAAATTTCATGTCTGCTATTCGGAACAAAACATTTCTGGTTCTTGCTATTGAACAATTGCACCAGTTTCTAAACACAACTTTAATACTTATAAGTTACCAAAGGCTTCCAACTGCTATTCAACACAGTGAAGGAAGTCAGCTGAGACCAGAGAGGATTGTGAGGAACTCCAGAAGGATCTAAATGGAGAAATGTGGAGAAATGTCTATTTCACAGAATAATTTCTACTATTCATACAAATTGATTTGCTCAACCCAACTATAGAAGTTGGAAGAGCAAAGAAGGGATAAGTCAGTGAAATCTCTTCCTCGTTGTGAGGCATCAGATAAAGCAGAAAAACCCCAAATCTTTGAAGAACAGGAAGAAGACCAAGACTACATAGGTATGCAGTCACTGGCATCACAGAAATACCGTATCTAGTTATCATGGTGTCTCAAAAAAGAAGAGGAAAGAAGGCAGACAAAATTAACATGGATTGCTGCCAGAGGGCACATGTACATGCCCTGTACATGGCGTGTTGTATGGCACAACACCTTGTAGAGATCTCCGTTCTAGGCTGAGAGAACTGAACCATCTTTATGGCAAAGTGCAGCATGATGCTAAGAATAAACTGGGTTCTGGAAACACCACAACCTCTCTGGTTCTGAGCCAGCTGGCATGGAAAACCCCGCATGGTTATGGTAGAAAGTGCAATCAGAGGTGAGATCTCATGTTTGCTGGGATCAAACTGACCACCATTTAGCTGTTATGGGAAGACATTTATTTTTGGAAGAGTTTAATCAGCATTTTTTCCTTCAAGTATGTCCTTCATATCGCAAAGATCTATACCTCAGTCTGCAAATAAATAGAATACCAAATGAGCTCCAGAGGTCCCTTCCAACCTCAATCATCCTATGATTCTATGATTTTGTGAAAACCACTTTGAAAAAGTTTACTACAGAGAGAAAGGAAACAATCTGGTTGTCACATACATGCAGCAAAGAGGAAAAGCAAAAGTGGTCTAAAGTCACTGTAAGAAAGACTTAAATCAGGCAGTAGGAAGACCAGTCATCACTTCCAACCGTGAAAAAGTTATTTTCCTCGCTATTTCAGCAGCAGCAGATGTTCTCATGCAGCTGACAATACATCATTTGATGCAGTTGGGAGCGAAGCATGCTTTAGGCAATTACCTTCTGTAAAGGAGATACACAGGCGTAGAGAGATGCAGCCCACGTCTCAAAGAAAATGCAAGAAAGATTTACACTGTTGTGACCAGAGAAGTGCACATATGATTAGGTGGTGCTATTTGATGGAGAAAGAAAGGAAGAAAAGAGTTGGGTAGGAAGACAAAAAGAGTAGAGTGCATCACTTTCCATCCAGTAGGCCTTCACTGAGTACCAGCATGTCAAAAAGAAAAGTATTTTTGCAGTGTGCACACTCAAATCTAGTCAATAAAAGTGACAGAAATCTTATCAGAGAAAAGAAAGGACTGAACTCACTGTTGGGCTCCTCTGTTTAACTTCTTGCAGAGTTTTAATGGGGGGACTCCGTGTTTCTTCCTGTAGTCATTGTGTGCTTTCAAGACCTCTTCAGCAAATTGTTTGGAAGCTGAAATCACATTAAAAAAGTTGGAAAAGTCTGTCAAATACAGACATCAGTGAAGACAGAAAAACATACCCTGAAAACTAAGATGCTGGAGAAGGTGGGACTGAAAAACAGGAGTATGCCACTCTCACTGCTTACAAGTAGGATGATACAAACCATTGATGCCTTCCATCCAGGAACTCTAAGAGGCAATTCCAGTGGAATGGTACAATCTTACTAAAGATTGAAGAGAAAAGTGAACTTCACTCCCTTTCTCAATAAGGAGGTGATTTAAGGTCAGTTTGACTGACTCTCATTTCAAGATTTCTATAAACCACACGACCACTGCAAAGAAATTGAAATAAGTGAGAATTAGGTCCTCTTCAATGTTCTCTCTTCTTTGCCTTGATGAAGTTTCAAAAGGAGGAAAAAAAAAAAAACAAAGCAAAACAAAAAAAACAACCCAACTCGTCCCTGCAGCTGGCTACCTAATGGAATTTCCTGCTTCAAGAGAAATTTGAAACCTGAAATAGGGTTTGGGGACAGTCAGAGAAGCATGGATAGTGTCTTTAAAACAGAAAGACAGTTTTCACTTTCTCTGTACTGCAGAAGCTTCTGGACAGGCCAAGGCATGCTTTAGTATTTATTCCATTACAGTGACACAGATTTACATTTATTAATGCAATTTGTGACATCATTTATGACATATATTATCAGCATTATAATTCTATATTCTATTCTATAACTCTGAATGTTCTAATTAGAAAGACTCCCACTATTTTCCATTTAAGATTCTTTCAAAGCCCAAGTAGATCTCATGACTAGAAAGTTTTTCCTGTTGTTAATTTAGATTTCTCAAGTTGCTCTCACTGCTTGATTTTAACAACTATAATCACTCATCTCTTCCTTTATTAGCATGTACACTCTTCTGCTGTTTGTAACGATGCATTCTCTCACAGTATAGCTGTCAGTTTGCATACACTGTTCTTGCAACTTTTTTCTAAGGTAATTAGCCAACCCACACTTGTGCTTTTAGCTGCAGTCTGAGTTTTCACTGGTTCTAACAACAGCCTTAAGATAATATGGTGACCTAAACTAATCTCAATGTCCAAATGCACATAAAAAGTCATTATCGTTTCACTCAGTACTTCATAACTTTGAACAGAATATGGAATTGAATTAGTTCAATTCTCACTTCCTCCAACACAAAAACACCACTGTGTTTTTGTGGACACGTACCTAACGTATTCCCCAACAACATGCTTTCAGGCTATATTTATTTATTTTGTATAAAATTGTTGCCATAAGACAGCTGAGAATTCACCAACAGAAATCCCACTGAAATGGTATCTGCCCCATCACATTCCAGCTCTAAGGTTTTCCTTCAACTTTGTGCCACATGTTGCATACCATCAAAGAAACCAGGCATCTCTACTTCAGTGTTTAAGCACCACTCACTCTTTGCTAACAAAACAGTTTCATCCTCCTTATTGTCATTAATTGATTACATTGAGCCAGGATCTTAAAACTCTCATTTGTGTGGCCTGTAGGTCATGGCCTATTTCTAGATGCTTATCACAGGTTACTGAGTAAGGCAAGCCTACAGCCAACTGACTTAACTTTGCTGATACGAGGGCACAAGATTCCAGCAGAGACATTTTAAGATAGTTTGCTAATCAAAAAAGCTGAAATGAACAGCTTTGGAAGTTGCATCGCATACTCCAGGCTGCATTTTTCTGCATAGGAGTTTGTGACTGTCATCACCTAGACTTAATTTCTCATCAGCTCAGCATTAAAGAGTGCATATACAATCTATCTGCAAATGCCAAAGTTTTAATTTAAATAATTTGTTTTCACTTACAATAACAAATTAAATTTCTAGGAAACAAAAGCTTGAACTGAACTGAAATGCAGGCTTTGTCAATCCATCCCCTAACAGACATATAGCACAATCCAGCTCTGTACTAACAACTTGAATTACAAAGAGCAACAAAACATGGACATGGCTTCTTCTAGCCATGGAGACACTTCTCTACTGGGCTTAGAGATCCCTCCCATCCTTCTCCTTTCTCTTCCTTTCCCAAGGTGTCTGCTACAGAACCACTTCTCTACAGTGACTCAAACTCATGTGCTAAACACCACCCTCTCTCCACTTGTTCTCCTCTGCACTCTGAAGCGTGGAGAGTGACGCCCAACTGCCAAAGACATTACAGATTTGTTTTAGAATACCTGTTAAGTTTTTCCATTTTAATCAACGTTCCATAGTCCAAGAAGACAGATATTAAAAGTGAGAATTAATGAGAGTTCTCAGGCTCCCACTCAAATGAGAACAGCTTCCCAAATAGCTTTGGAGACGTACATTTTTTTTCCTTCACATAGACTGCTTAAGCTTCTAGAAAAAAATATTTCCTGTTGCAAGAAAGTTGGTTTTGGACATGAATCATTGTGCACTGCAAGAAACAATTAATGCTATTATCTACAGTTGCCTCTTTCTCATTATTCAAATATTTACCTCTGTTGTGGATTCTTCTGGAACACTGTGTTAAGATATGACAGCAAGCAACAATGAATTTACAGCCCATGATGTGGTACAGAGCACACCTGGTAGATTTCTTCAGACTTTTTCAGTTTTGTTTAGCTCGTGTGAGCGTGGAAAAGTAAGCAGAGGCGTCTAGGCTGACTTTTCCTATCAGATTTTCTCTTACTCTCTTATTCCCTTACACTGGCCATCACAACTGAAGTGAGTTACCCAACACGTTCTCCACGATACCAGCTGCTCTGTGCCACCTCTGCAGTCACTAGCTGAATCTTGCAAGATGATGCAACAAGAACCGGACCTCACATAGAATCCAACACAGAAATATACCATTATGACTGCCCCAATTCATCTTCAAACCATGACATAGACCTCATCTTTCTACTCTGCCTGTGCATCGCTCAAAATAAATAAGAAGAGATGTACTCATGTAACAGCTAGAATCACATTTCTGAAGACAGATACTAAGTATGTTTCAAAGAACCCACCAGTGTGGGAAGAAATAAGTGCTGAAAACTGATACCAACAACTCTGGTAATGTGACTCATTTTTAGCCAGGATACTGCACATTATTTCTACACTCTTTTCTGCCCAGAACACACGGAGGAACATTCACTCTCCAGGCAGAAAGAAGCCAAATATTAGAATGCACAGAGCGGACACAAATGCAAGCTGTACAGAAAACACACACAGAGGTAATTGTTTCAAGATCAAGTGCAGCTCTACTTTAATACTAAAATCTTTAGTCTTCCTCGACTCTGCAAAGCTGTACTATTCTGGCAGTAGTAATGGAGCGTGGAAAGATGATGCAGCAAATACAGTTGTTAATATGCCCAACAACTTTATGAGAAAATTCATCGGAAGCTTTAGGAACTGCGAAGTAAATATGTCAAGAAGTCCTTTATTACCTTCCCAGATAACTAAGGATACTCACATTTTGATAAGCTTCAACTTCATTAACAGATTGGAAACAAACAAAATTCTTAAGTAAAAACAACTTCAGCTAATGACCACGTTCTCACCTAAGACTGAAGATGCTTGGCTTATATATTATCAGCAACTTTTATTTTCACTTGAAATGCTTCTCAAGAAACCAGCTATAGCTGAATATTTCACACTGTGAGAACAGAATTTCTTCAATGGAGAAATGCTGAATATTTAGCTTGCAGAGAAAGCTTAAATGAAGGCAGGTACACTTCTGTTACATTTTGACTCTGCATTTTGGGTTGAGGACATAAACATTCATAGTGATATAGAGCTGGGTGGGCTCTGCAATGCCACAAAGATTACTTTTTTTTTCTTATTCCATGTACTTAATTGCTCCTTTCTGCTCCTCATCTGGGATAAAAATTTCTTCAAAGACTGGCCCTTAATGTGATTTCTAGAAACGTCATTTGGGAGCATGGATTAGGCATTCCAGTTCATGCATCACTTCCAAACACAAAACCTGATCTCCTTCAGTGCCAAACTCCCTGTGCTCAGCATAGCTGTTGCTAGACTACTTCCTTTCCAACATGGATTTTCTTACTTAGCAGAAAGTATTGCTTAAAAGTATTAAAGGAATTAGGATATAGAGTTACATACAAGCTTGAGTGGGAGAAATTTCCTGGAACTTTCTTGTTTTTAAGCAGAAATAGAATAATTTCCCCTTTGGTTCAGGAGATCTCTCTTCAGGAAGAAGATTCTCTGATGTTTTTCAGTTATGCCTCAACTTTTCCTTCACTCACTACCACTGGGATGAGCTTCAGGATAACACTAAGACGTTTAAGTTAACTGAATCAGATGGACACACTCCATACTCATTTTATTACCCAAGTTTCCTCTACAGGAAACTGGCAGCTTAATAAGCTTGCATTACCTGCTCCATGTGACATAGCACACTATTCCCCTCCCATTTTCAATGTGAAGCATACTGCCTCAGAATATAAAACCACTGGTGTAATAATGTTTCAGTGACATTACTCATGTCACTGTTTGATTGCAAATCCTATTCTTGCCATAACAGTCAGTGTTGATTACTTCCTCACTTAAGGCCTTTTATAAACTGTTAGGCAATTGATTCTCCTGATTAAAAAGGAACACCTGCTAACCTGGAAACTGCACAGCTCAGAAAAGCAGCAGAGCCTTCTGATACATAAGCTTGGAATAAAAAAAATAAAGAAAGAAAAGCTAATCAGAAGTTACTGACAAAGTTCTTGCTTTCATTTTTTGGGGAAAAAGGGTGTGTGAGAGAAAGAAGAGCTTTGGTTGGAGCCCTTCTCCCCCCCAAACAGTGAGATCAGCAAACCTTTCAACAAATAGTTGCTATCATGGAGTGGTCATCACGCAGAAGACTGGAAATGAGCTGCTCACCAAATGTGGAGAAGTCAGTATTGACTTTGCATATAAGAGACAATCAAAAAGTGTTATTTTTATCACTATTCTGCTAAGGAGGACAACACAGTATAGTAAATACGACACACATACGCACACTCTAGATAGACAGTAAGGAAGCTGATAACCTTTTTAAAAAGGAAACCCTCTCATTAGTAAGGCCTTACATTCTTAGACATAATTGGACATAATTCCTAGGGCACATATGATTTGAAAAGCAAAGTCCCAGGTGACCTAAAGACCACACTACACAGGAGAAGAAAGTGAAGCAAGGTTTTCCTTTTCTTCTCTTCTTCCCGCCCTGATGCTGTATTTACTGAGGTCCTTCACCAGAAGGTGGTGGAACCATGGAACAGGCTCTCCAGGGCAGTGGGCATGGCCTCAAGCTGCCAGAGTTCAAGCAGCATTTAGACATTTCTCTCAGACATAGAATTTGAATTTTGGATGGTTCTGTGTGGAGCCAGGGATTGGACTCCATGATCTTCGTGGGTCTCGCCAACTCCAGATGTCCTGGGTTTCTCCAGTTCTGTGATGTGCAGGGACAGTCTTCACAATTAAAATTAGAAGGATGGCTTTCAAATCCTGCTGCTACTCTGGTGGCATTGCAAACCTTCAGAAAGAAGCTAATGTCATCATCTCCTGCAGCTATTTAACAAGCATACTTACAGCTGAGAGCAGGCAAAGACCACATGATTTCTATTCAAAGCCTAGATTCACCCTGCTAACTTCAGCTCAGTCAACACAGAAAAGTATTAATGTTTGCAGCGGTCTTAAATAGGCCCATATTGTCTTCCTCCAAAACATCCAAGACTTGGCCATCTCTTACAGGCTCAAACCTACAGTACACAAGCCAGTTCTAGAGTAGAATTATTAGCCAGAGTTTGGCGTTGCTTCCTCCTCCTCATCAAGGCCACACACTGACTCAGAAACAGTTTCTGTTCAGACCGTCAAAGACTGGGCAGAGTTTGCTCGCATTTGCTTGTAAAAACATAATGTAGATAAACTTCAGCTAATCTTTAGGAGAACAGAGTGGCCTTCACCAAAACAGCTATCTGAAATATTCTTCTGGCCTGTGCAGATATGTAACGAACAACTCTGTACTTACAGTCAAGTGACTTATTTTTCTCATACTTTCCATTCCTGTACAAAGAGCAGCAACAAAGACAAGTTCAAATCCAAACAAGATAGAAACTACCAAATGGATCAATTATACTGACAGAAAACAAAGCTTTGTTGAATGTTTTCACTCACTTTCAGAAATAAATTTTCGTCATGCTTAATTATTTTTTTCAGAATGATTTCCTGGCGGTCCCAGAAAGGAGAGCTGATGTTTTTGGACATGTAACTATATGGCATGAGAAACCTTGCTAGCTCTTTTGGTTAGTACAGACCATCACCTTGTGTCTCATTCTTTGCAAGCCACTTCTGGTACTCGTCTGCCTTGAACGTTAGAAACTAAGGCTCCTAATCTAACAACAAACAGGAGCAGCCACTGTTACAAAGGATGATGGCTTCTGCATTCTCCTCCACTCCACTTTGCCCAAAGCATGATTTCATTCAACAAACAAGTAAAGATTAGGCATCAAACATTGTTTGCCAAAGCCTGATGTCTTCCTGGAGGATTTTCCATTATTTCTCATTTACTGAACATGAACTGAGTAATTAGCATCATCTACACACTGGAGAAGTGCAGGGTTTTTAATTAAATTAGCTACATTTTTTAAAGGTTCTTTTTTCATCCTCCTCAGATTCAGTTCTGGTGTAAAAAGAAACAGCAAGTAACTTGTATGAAGTTCTGCACGGGCCCCATTGTTACCAAACATGAATGCCTGGTTACCAGCAGCTTAGATTCATTCATTTTCTCTATCCCCTGGGTCCTGTAAAACCGAACAACACAAAATGCGCTGTCAGTTTGGCAGCTTGTGTCACATTTCTTCAGAAAGCAGACAGGTCATTTTTCTTGTATACCTGTACTTTTGTTAGGAGCTGCTACAGCTGCCTCCTCCTGAGATGCTGCAGTACAAACTCTCACCTCTCATCAGCTGGAGATGCAGCTCCTTCTGAAAACGCACTATAGTCCTTTATGCCATGCTCCAAGGATGCACCTTCAAAGTTAAAAGCAGCATGTAGTTCTAAGGGAGATTAAAAGCAATAAGGAAAACAGCACTGAGTTTGGTTCCTATCTCCTTTCTCTTTGTTAAAGCCCTTTCTTGGTCCCTATTTATTTTTGCACAGACTCAATAGGCAGCAGTGGGGAACTCCCAGTCACTTCTTTGGAGTCCCACCCATACTTGCAGGGGACAGGGATGGTGGGAAGAAAGAAAATAAGAAAAGCAAGCACTGTAAAAAGATTCTCAGTATTTACTGAGCTCATTCTTCTCTGAGAGCATTCTGCGCTCACCATCCAGAAGTCAAAGAGCAAATTATTCCCTCCCCACCTCCTCCACTTAGTTTCTAGAAAGCAAGGAGGGCAAGGTTCCTTCCCCAACACACAGGGTTGGAGGGGGATTGGAAGAAATGACACTTTCCTTTCTCTGCCTTCCCAGCCCCCAGGCAGCTGCTGCTGTGGATATCCCCTCTGGGATGACGCTGCTCCGGACCCCGGCCTCCTCGCACAGCTGCATGGGGTCAGAGCCATGCGGTGACGGAGCCCTAGCAACACTGCAACAAAAAGCAGACAGCTCACCATCAGCTCATTTCCTGCTGAAATACTCCCTGATGTTTGGTGTTTTTTTTGTTTTTGCTTTGGGCTCTCTGGGGAGATGAGGCGGCATCACACTGCTAATCCACATGCTGTTCAAAAGGAGAAGGCTAGTGGGAGGATACAGGAGGTCCCCACATTTGGCTGCGGTGTTTGCAGCAGTTACAACCAGGGCAGGCATTTCTCTATGGTTTGATGGGGGAGTTCCAGCATGTGCTTGTTTTAGTACACTGCAACATCCAAGGCAAAAGGCTGTTAGAGGTACCGATGTCTTATTATGCACAGTTCTACTAAGTGAAGCAAAACCAATGCAAAGTCTTCAATCAGAATACTTGCAAAGAATACACTTTAAGTATAATCTGACAGCTAGAAACAACACACTATTAGGGAGCTCCAATCAAAATGCCTGCAAACAACTGAGATTTTAAACAGCGGAGCTGGTTTTCCAAGGGGATACTTGTACCTCAAAATAAATTCACCAAAGATACAGAGTTAAAGAAACAGCTTTGAAGAGATTTGTTCTAAAATAGAGTGCCCAGTTTACATGAATTAGAGTATCCCTACATGAATCATAGAATGAATGAATCACAGAATGGCCTGGGTTGAAAAGCACCTCGAAGATCATCGAGTTTCAACCCCCCTGCTATCTGCAGGGTCACCAGCCATCAGACGAGGCTGCCCAGAGCCACATCCAGATGAATGTCTCCAGAGATGGGGCATCCACAGCCTCCTTGGGCAATCTGTTCCAGTGTGTCACCACCTTCTGGGTGAAAAACTTCCTCCTAATATCTAACCTAAACCTTCTCTGTCTCAGTTTAAAGCCATTTTCCCTTGTCCTGTCACTATTCACCCTCGTAAAGAGCCATTCCCCTTCCTGTTTATACACTCCCTTCAAGTATTGGAAGGCCACAATGAGGTCTCCCCGGAGCCTCCTCTTTTCCAAGCTAAACAAGCCTACACGTATGCCTTCAGGCAATCCCTTCATTCTTCTGATCCAGGAAAGGAGCAGGTGCTCTGGATGTCACTGAGAGGTCGGGCAGATCCCTACCCATTACATTTCTACTACATGTCCCAGGAAAGACAAATCTCTGCGCATCTCCTGTGTCTTCTGTGTGTCCTCGAGAGCGGGAAATCTCACACAAAACACAGAGCTGTGCTCTTCAGAATAGCTGCTCTCACCCATGCAAAGGCAAACATCAATCTCAGAAAGGAATTTAGAGACTTCAGTTTGGAGGAAAGGACAGATGGGATTTAGTCAATGAATTGATTGTTAGGACAGGATCTCAGCTTAATGCACAGCTTAAATAGCTCAAACAGCACAAAAGCAGCAACCAGGGCCCAGTTCACTTTTAACTTGAAATGTATGATACAGGTTACAAAAAACTATAAGCACGTACTTTGAAGCTCTATTTGTATAACTTCTCAGCGGAGCAAACAATACTCAAACCTTAGTGGAAGGAATTTCTAGTCTGCCATTGCTCCTAATTTTGGAACAAAGAACCGATGTGCTCTAACAAATATGCAGGAAATAACAGCTAAAGACAGCAATTGCCTTATGACTGCATCAGCAATCTGCAAACAGAGATTGTGCATGTATTAAAACAAGAGATTTGGATCAGTTTGGGGTTGGGAGTGGCACACTGAAGCCTCTGCTGCTTTTGCCCAGTTAACTGTGCCAACGCAACATACAGATGCAAGGCTCATCTAGCACTCATACTTTTTATGCTGCTAGCAAGGAACTGCTGAACTGGCTACTTCCTAGCGATTACAGTTATTTAAGTGGTTGTAAGATCACTTACTAAATCCTAACCTATTTGAAAGCACACAGCTTCCAGGAAATGGGCCAAGCCCATGCACTGGCAGCTAGGTGGTGCTAAGCCTGGGCTGGGTATCGGCCTGCTGCCACATACCATGGAGTCAGAGCAAGCCCTTAACCACATTCTCAGAGGGCTCAGATCCTCAGACCTCAACCGGGACGATGATCTTTAAATAAAAAAAAAAAGAAAAAAGAAAAGAAAAGAAGCACACTTGTATGCTGAGGCTCATTCAAGTGTTAGCATTGAGTTTCTTCATGTTTTTAAGTGAACAAAGGACCAGATTGCACTGAGCACATCCTATGTGTGGTATGGATGGATAGGATGGACAGATAATATGCTACCAAGCCCTGATTAGTTACAGAAATAACATCCCAACCACAAGAACAAGCTATTTGGTTTCATTGCAGTTTCAAAAGAGGAGCGGGGATTTTCAGACTCTAGGCACATATCTGTCTGCAGGAACCTTCCTTGTGACACTAGTGGGTCAAAGATGGACTGATCCCATGGCAATCTCTCCTTTTAAAGTCTCCAACTTCCAGGCAGCTTCAGTGGGGTTTTCTTCTACTCAGAACATCAAACCCGAGCACACAGGCAATGAACAGAGCCCAACAAAGCAGCCCGCAGCAGGCAGGAACAAGAGGCTTGACAAAAATCTGCACAGCTGGGGAAAAACTTATGAGCTCAGTCAGACAGCACTTGGTTAAATTGTAACTGCAACCAGATTTTGAATCTAACTCCTTCTAAAAGCTAGGGCAATAAAAAATCTTCCCTCTCCAAGCAGTTTGTTGATGATTTGCAATGTAAAGAAGCTTTGCCAGTCAGTTATACACAGTGTAACTTTAAAGCTACTAGATTTAAAACGATCCTTTCTCTGAATGCCATAAAACTCCTTCATGCAGCAGAACACATCTGTTACCAGCTACAAAATGAAAACCATACAGGAAAATACAACTACCTCTACACTGACCAGGTCTGGGGGGGGGGGGAGGAAGAGGGTTTTGTTTTGTTTTTTTTTTCTGGCTTTTTAAATCAAACAGACTAATTTTCACTGTGTCAGAGAGAATGCTCCTCCCAGCCAGCAACATGCGCAAATGAAAGCAGCCTGCTCACAGCAAAGCCACTGAGGCTTTGGAGCACAAAACCGAGTGGTGCCATTGCAAGGATATACAGCCAACTGCATGAACGCATTTTGCTCACCTGATTTTCCCATGATCACGTCGTGATATTATTTTTTTTTTTCAGTTTCACCTGATTCCCGCTCTCTTGCCTGAATTCCTCAGCTCAGGCGAAGGGCTTTGTAATTTCAATGCAACTTCTTCACTCTGCCGCGACTGCTGCTGGAGAAACTCCGCTGAAATAACCCGTTACCGCCCCTTTCTCAGTGCTCAGGGAAGCCTGCCCATGCCTTATAAGGAATAGGGGCACTGCTTTTTTGCTTAAAAAGATTCTGTTTAGGGTCAGCAGCCATGCAGCCTCCACAGTAACCAAGCAGCTCAAAACCGCCGCGTGTTTTTACATACCGATTTAGTTCCGTAATTGCAACTATTTCCTGATAAGAGTATGCTGTGAAAAAAATTGTGCTGCCAAATAGCTATGCTGCCACAGCAGGGATAACCCAGGGGGTTAATTCCTACAGCTATGTACGTGTTAAAGTTTTACTGAATTGCTGTATGCACAGTTAAAACAGACAAGTGATAAGATACTTGAACTGCATTTCACAAGTGCAAAAGGGACTTTCTCCATAGTTAAAATGACCTGCAGAAGGTATTAGTAACATGCAGCATAGGATTCTTCAAGTTAAACAGGATCTGTGCTGATGGTTTATTCCTGTGAAAAGAGTTTTGTGTGCGTGTACCTTACTTCAGTCTGTGAAGGCTGATTAGGTTGCCTTCATGTCATACCCAAATATCCCACACTAACATGACAAAAATTAACTGGTACTTCAGCTGCTAGGCATGGACATGACAATTTGAAGTTTTTAACTTCAAAAGTGTTGCACCTCTTCAAATAATACAGAGATCTCCACATTACTCAGTTACCTCCTACTTCCTTCTTTTCTTCATCACAAAAAATCATCTGGGCTTAATAATTCCCATTCTTTTTTACAATACTCTTCAAGGACCAAAGGTTGTACATGGTTTTATGCCAAGTCTGCTGGCTCAGCCTCTCCCTTGGCACGCATACAGCTCTCCCCATGGGATGAGCTGCATATGCAGCAACCACTGAAGCTCCCTCATCTACTAACATGCCAGGAGGCATTAGAATTGTAGAACAGAATAATTCAGGTTGGAAAAGGCCACTAAGACCATCTGGTTCAACCATTACCCCACCCCCCCATGCCCACTGACCACATCTCTCAGTGCCACATCCACACGGCTCCCAAACACCTCCAGGGATGGTGACCCTACCACCTTCCTGGGCAGCCTGTGTCTCTGCCTCACTGAGAAGAAAGTTTTCCTAATATCCAACTTGAATCTCCTCTGGCACAACTTGAGGCCATTGCCTCTCATCTTAAAAGGAACAAGACTCCTATTATAGGAATCCAGGCATCTTGTGCTCTTCCAGGCTGTGTACCAAAGCAGCGGACAGGGGATGAGAAGGGCAAGTTTTAACTCTCCACAGCCAACCTCTGGAGGCTGAGTTCCATGAGAAGAAAAAAAGAAAAGGAATAAAACTGATTTGCTTCTAAAAAAGTACAAATAGCAGGAGTAGATAAGGAGGACAATATTCCTTCACAACATACTACTCTTGAGATTGCTTCACTGGCAACGGTGCAACACATGCTGAGTTCGTATCGTTATCTGATAGCTGATCGGATGGCTAAGAAGAGCTGGGTAAGTGATCACCAGGTGGAGAGGAAACCACAGGGTGTGAGATCAGACAGCCTCACAACTGCATGACACTTCCCATAGCTGGTAGCAAGCCTGGGCAGGATGAAGAGGTCAGAGAAGGTGAAGATAAGAAACTCGTTCACTTCCTCTGCCATGAGAGCTGGCAGTCACTGGCTGCACGGGGTGGAGAGCTGGATGAGGTTCTAGCAGCGTTGTTCGTAATGAGGTGATAGCAGCTGTTTCATTTGTAGGACTTAGCAAACTGTGGGCCCACATGAACTGTAGCTTCTAAAAAAGCTCTCCAACATCTGAAATGCTGGGTAGTTCTATCTCTAGGATTTACATCAACACTCACTAATATCCTGTACCACTCCACAGCGTTGACAAACAGTAGAACAGAATTCAATTTTGCACAGCTGGGCGTTGCTGGTATTTAAAGTCTTCATTTCCTCATAGTTGACTGTTATATTTCATTCATGTTTTAGATCTTCATAATATTCAGCTAGTAGAAGCAATACCCCCTTATGACCTTGACTGCTGCTAACACAGCTGCATAAAGATCTTCAAAAGTTGGCATAGATGCCTGCGTGTGATTCTCATAGAATCACAGAATATCCTGAGGACCATCATACCCATAAGGACCATCATGTCCAACTTCTGGCTCCATATGGCACTATCCAAGAAGCAGACTTACATGTGAGAGCGTTATCCACACACTCTGTGAATTCCAGCAGGACTGATGCCATAACCACTTCCTCGTGGAGCTTGTTATGGGGCCCAGCCAAGCTGTTGGCGAAGAACCCTTTCCTGGTATCCACTCTTTCAGATTTTCATATCTTGGAAAAGAGGGTGTCTCCAATCTGGAACAATCCAGGATTACCTAGAGGAAAAACTGATGCTTTTTCTGATCACAAAACACAGAAATCAAAATCACAGCTTGGAGGTGAAATGTGAAAATGATCAGTACAGATTAAGAGCAATGACTCATTAGAGACTAGAAAGCAGAGTAACTTCACATACAAGAGGAAAAAAAAAAACCAAGAAAGAAAAGGGAGTGAGGAGCAGAACTTTTTTAGCATTTTAATGTGAACTGGTGAAATTTTTTTCCAGACTAAAAAGTATTGCTGACTTTATCAGATGGCAATTTGGAGGAAGTCTGTAACTAAGAATACAATCAAGCATTTGGAAATAAAAACAATGATTAAATAAAAGCTACTGCTAGGGAAACTTGGAGACAAAATGTGGAAATACTGTAGTGCATAAGGGAGTGTAGCACAGGCACTGTGTTCTTTAGAGGCCTGGCACCCTCCTCAGCACAAGTACAAATCCCATCAGATCAAGGCAGTGAAATGCCCACTGCAGCCTCAGAGAATTAAAGAATTACAAATTGCTCTAACTTCAGGAAATAAAAACCACCACCACCACTTCAATCTGAGAACACTCACCCATAGTTGTTTTCAACTAGCTCCAAGAAGAAAAAAAAGAATGACATGGCACAACCTCTGTAAGAACTGTCACTTCCTACTTCAGGGGATGCTGAGGGTCCTTCACTGCAAACTACCATGCAGGAAGATGTAGAGCCATCGGAGCTCATCCTTGGGAAGGGAGATACAGAGGGGTCAAAGTGAAGAGGGGGATGGAGATGGTACTCTAAGAGCATTTGGCACAAAAAAGTTCTAAGGACATTCGGAAGGAAGAGGGTATCTTGTCAGTGCTACAAAGTGTTGTAACTCCAAGCTTGAGGTCAGCGCCCAAAGGATGCTTTATGGGCTTTTTGCTTCATCACTTTTGTGCTTTGAGCTGAATTAAACTGAACACATTTTTAGGATAGTTGCTCTGTGCCTGTGATGAGGAAAGTCCACTGACATCCCAGGTGAGCTCAAATACACGTTGGAATCAGATGGTTAGACCAGCTGCTGGCCTCCCATAACAAATATAGCCAGTCACTTGCGAATGAGATCACACAGTTATGATGGGTCCTGAAAATCTCAGTTTAAATGCTCAGAAGCAGATGAGAAAGCACATACAATATTTCCTCATCTCTAAAAGGATAGAGCAGAAGTGAAAAAAAGATCAGAGAAGGGCAACAAAGGGCATGACAGCTCCATACACAATGCCACCAAATTAGATTTCTTCAGCTAAGGGAAGAGATAATGAAAAGAGAAGTTACAGACATCTATGAGATCAAGAATGTAGATGGGTACTGACTGTGTCCTCCACTACAAGGTAGGAGGATATTGAAAGGAGTATTAAGTAAATACAGACGTATATGGGATGCAACATAGAAGGTGCTTTGGCCAGGAGTTCAACCACAGACACCAAAAGCCTACAAAGGTCTCACAGAATGGAAACAAACATGGATAAGAAAGTCACTGAGAATTACTGAATACACAGAAATCACATTTGGTTTAGGAAATCCCTGAGCTGAAAGTAGTTGAAAACTAGTACTATTACCAGAAGTTATCACCTTCAAGCAGGGGGAGCTGGAGCAGATTGCTCAGGACCATGGCAGGAAGCACATTTTCCCTGTGAGGGTGAGCAAGCATTGGCACAGGCTGCTCAGAGTCTGTGGAGTCTCCTTGGAGACCTTCAGATGCTGCCTGGCCATGGGCCTGGGCACCCTGCTCTGGCTGACCCTCCTGGAGCAGGGCTGAGACCTGATGGATTTGCCAGCTTCAGACAAGCTGTGATTCTGTTGTCTCCATGGACAGGAGACTCCACAATCTCTTTGTCAGTGTTTGATCATTCTCAATGAAAAAAAAGCGTTTTCTGATGTTCAGTATATACTTTTTTGTGCCCACTCTTCTTGTCCTACCAGCAAACATTGCTGAAAAGTGTTTCGTTCCCTCTCCTTCACTCCCTTCTTTTCAGGTATTTATACACAGTAAGATCCCTCTGATTCTTCTGTTCTCCCATCTGAACAGCTCCAGCTGCCTCACCTTCTCCTCCTGAAATGCTCCAGTCCCTTATCAGCCTATCCCTGCAAGATCAAGCAGCATCCTATATACCTCCCATGTCAGCTGCCCCTACTTCCACCATACATTGACGTCTGAGCTCACACTGAAGGTCTTGCATCTGTTCCTTCCTGTCACTCCTCCACCTCCTCCTCCCCAGCTGCTTTCCTTTACATCAGGCTCTTCAGTTTCCCTGCAGGAATTTCATTTCCTTATTAATGATCCATTCAGTTCCTTAAATATAAGTTCCTCAAATGTAAGTTCCAGCACTACCAAATCTTCACTGACCATGCAGCTACGGTTCAGTCCTTCTCCATATAGATGCCCATCACCCACGTGGGGCTAGAGCTGCACCAGCAAGTGGTTAAGCACCGCAGAGCCAGATTTGCAGTGAGAAACCTGATGCTCATGCTACATGCTTCAGTGAGTTTCACCTTGAACTAAGCCTGGCTTGAGGCCGGTACACAGAAGAAACACCCAACAGCAGTTGTTGCAGGCTGGATAAAGCTCTGGAGTGGCTTCCTGGCTAAATTTGATCCAAACCCAATCCATTTAGTGCCCAGCAAAGGTTCCATACTGGAAAGCAATGACTGCCAGACTGGACCACCATCTAGTCCTACCTCCCCCAGCCTCCATCTGCTGCCAACTCTGTCTCTTTCTCCTAATGTCGCCCCATTCATTCAGCAGAGCTCTAATGAGTTTGCAGCTGCACTGCTCCCTCATTACATGGCATCACTCCACAGCCCCATTTTCCCAAGGCATTCCTGTGCTCTCCTTCCCTTGA